CTCGAGCCTCTGTACCTCTGCACGTTACTTCCACAGCTCTTCTGTGTCTCAGCGTGCTTTTCTCTTTCCTTCTAGTTGTAGAATTTCCACTCAGCCAGCCTTCCTGTGGTTCTGGATGATGTCCATTTTGTCTTTTCGTTGTATTTTTGAAGTTGTTGTGGAAGGCAGCAATTTCCAGTGCTTACCTATGCCGCCATCTTGGTTTCTCTGAATTTTTTTAATTTTGTTCATTACATAAGAGAAAATAATATATTACAAAACCATCTTTACCTGATATATAGCAAACTACCTCTTACTATGATGGAGTAGTCCTGATAAACCAAGCTGATAGCCAGGAGGATTATGGGAGAATTTACAACAGACCTCACACTCATAAAAACAAGTGTGCAGCTTTCAATTATGCATCTTAAATATTTATCATCTGTTATATCTTAAGGGGGAAAAGTTAGATTGAAAAATTATTTGCCTTTCAAAATGATTATCCTCTTCCTTTTGAAAAACTAATTCATTCCTCTGCTTAACGTTGTTATTTCAAATTTACAGGATGTCTCGGTGATTCTTAGCATAAATAGAAGACTAGCTGAAGCAAAGGAGGGGGGAAGAGAGAGTGAGGAGAGAAAGCAAGAAAAGACCAATCTCTTGCCACATACTTGGTTGTTTTCTTCCTGGACACTGTCATAATAAGAAATGATCATCCTTATGCCCATAGCGGACCAGTTTCATATTCCTGTTCCACTCCGGTAACCCATACTGGTCCTGATGGTTAATCTGCAGATCTAACAAAATCATGTTCCTAGCCTGCTGCTGAAGTATACAGAGTACCTCCAGCAATAGTGATGGGGCTGGGCCCTCATTGCTAACTTATGTACTGGGATGTGGAAGGTGAGCAGTAGAGGGGAGTGGGGGGGGAGCGATCAGATCTAGGTTTAAGGAACTGGAGGAATACTGAGAGAGAAGAAAGGGAAGGAAGATTAAACCCCTCACTCCACAGAAAGCAGCCTTCTTACTGCTATTCCAGCTGCCACTTTCCAGTTCGTTTTTTCTAGGTCTCTCTGCTGTGCTGACTGTGGGGGAAATTCTGACTCTCCTCTGTCTCTTCTCAATGCTGATCAAGCGCTCTTCACCCCTGTGTATGCCTCAAAAGTAGGTGCTCCTAACAATGCTCTAACTCAGTGGTTCTCAACCTTCCTAATGCCGCGACCCTTTAATACAGTTCCTCATATTGTGGTGACCCCCAACCATAAAATTATTTTTGTTGCTACTTCATAACTGTAATTTTGCTACTGTTATGAATCGTAATGTAAATATCTGATATGCAGGATGTATTTTCATTGTTACAAATTGAACATAATTAAGCCTAGTGATTAATCACAAACAATATGTAATTATATATATATGTTTTCCGATGGTCTTAGGCGACCCCTGTGAAAGGGTCATTCGACCCCCAAAGGGGTCGCGACCCACAGGTTGAGAACCGCTGCTGTAACTGCTCTTTCTTGTATGCATGCCCTCTCTGAGTGACTTCATGTATTTTAATTTACATTCTGATCATTTCCAAATCCAAATGTCTAGCCCCAGCTTCTGCCTTGAATTTTCCTTGTGTATGCCTGGACTTGCTAGTATAGTCACATGTCTATCTCACAGGCACCTTGTGAATGTGGCACGTTCAACTGATGTGGCATGTTCATTGTTTTCCCCACCAAGCCAGCTCCTCTTGCGTTTTCTCAGTATCATTCACTGAGTCATAAAACCAGAATTCTCAGCAAGCAAGTCCTGCCAATGACTGTCCAGACCACACCTTACCGAACACTTTACAGGTCTTCACTTACAGGACACTGTTTCCTCTGCTTAGGACATACTTCCCATCTTCCTTCTCACCACTCACATTTCTTTCAAACCGCAGCTTGTGCTCATCTTTACATGTCTTCCTTTCTTAAAGCCCAACTTGGGATAAGAGCCCTTTCTCTTTATTCCCTTTGCACCCTGCACAAACATTCCACCTGATCACTACTCGGATGCAGTTGAAACCATCTACCTGTGGGGGCCTGTGTTCTCAATGCTAAGTCGTAAGCATTTTAAAGTCAGAAACTGTGACTTACCCATCTTAGTACCACCTGGCAGCTCCCAGAAGTGCCTGACACATTGCAGGCCCTAAACAAATGTCCACTGCATTGTCTATGAGGAGCCACAAGGTCTGCAAGATCAGTGACTCTCACATCACCCTGTTCCCACTGATTTCACTTTAGTAAAAAAATTAAGGCACAAGACCAATCACAGCAATTCAGTTTCACTTTTATTAATAATTACAACATACGTTTTAAACACTTTACAATTTAGGAATATCTTCACACACATTATCACACAATAACCATCACTTAGAGAAAGATTTTAAGGTAATTTGCCCTAGGATTATAAAATAATTAATCCCTTTCCATTAGTAGATAGGAATTCAAATATTATTTCAATCATAAAAAATGTCTAATCAACATTTAATTCTTTCCCATTGCTGTAATTTTGGTTTTCCACCACTATTTCCTCATTTCCCTCATTTTCTTCATGTAAGTTTACTCCTTTTTCCCTGCTTTTGCTTCATCCTCCAACAGCTGTCCTAGACACACCTGCCTTAACAGCCTTCTACTCTGGATTTTAATTCTTAGTGTAAAGATGACAAAGTCAAAAACAATTCAATATGGAACATTTCATTCTAAAAGAGAATAGCATTTTAGTCTAAATACAAATCCTCCTTGTGCTGCTTCAAGAAAAATATAAAACCTTCACCCAAAGGGCCTTCTCACAGATGAAGGCAGTAAAATTCTCCACTGCATGGTGTCATCATGATGCAGAAAAGATTTATAATTGCAACTATTTCTAAAACAGGAAAACACTGTGCTTCATTCAGATTCAAAGTTTTATAGCTATCTTCATATTAAGCTATTAATAAGCGCTGCACAAAGTTAAACCTAAAGAATTCACCATCTTCCTCAAACGTATACCCGTCTACTTCCATTAGAGCTGATTGGCCATCCGAGACATCAGGAAGTAGATCTTCAGCTCTGTTACCTATACAAGCATGAGAGAAACAAAACACTGTATATGGAGTCAGAAATTCTCTTGTGCCTCTTCTCTTCTACTAACCAGTCACGTCTTAAGCAAGTCTCTCTCTCCAAGCACCCGTTTTTCTCACACATGAAGCCGAGATAACAATATCAGCCCTATGACCTCACAAAGTTGTTTGCCTCAAATTAGGTAGTAAATATGAAAGCATTTGTGAACTCTTAAGCTGTACAAATATAAAATGTTATTATGACATTAATAAAACCTACCTTGTTAAAGAAAAGAGTAAATCAGTCCTTTCTCAATTCCTAAAGAGCCCACACAAAGAGCTGCCCCAGGCCAAAAGTACTAAAAATACTACCTTATCTTTGTAACTCTGGAGTCCCTCCTTAATCTCACGTTGGGCTACAATTTTGAGACTAACCTATCTATTTTAAAACAGCACAATAAAGATATCCTGGAATAGAATTTCATGCACAAACAATTCCATGGCCCAAAGTCTCAGCAATTTGTGACTTGCTGATTGTATATTTGGGATGAAATGTGAGGTCTAATGTGGCAGAAAATATCTATGCGCATAAATATTAGAGAATATTTTACTTATATAATTTAATTCCTAGCTTATAAGAGATATAGCATCTCCTAAATATCACAAAGTGAATAAAATCATCCATAGAAAATACAAGGAACTCTGTCCATCTTAAGTGATAGACATATAAGGATACATGTAAGTACTTGCACACACTTGCACATGCACATACAAACACTCAGACTTAGTGTACAGAATATCTAACAAGAGAATGTTACCTATTTGGAGGGGGAAGCTAATTTACACATACTTTGTTGGAAAGTATAACTAAACTGTCCTTGCGAAACAGTAATTAACTAATAAACTCCAACTTACTTTACTATTGTTCTAAAAACATTCCTTAGACACAATGGAGGACTAAATGATTAAATTCTCACATAACACAGGAGAGCTTCAAAAACTGAAGCCACTCCTTTTCAGTTACTTGGAAGACACAAGATATAATGAAAGTACAGGGGAATTCTGGAGTTAGACCTGGATGCATTCCTGGTTCTGTTGGGAATTACTAGATGGATGACCATGGGTAAATTCATCTCTGAGCCTCAGTTTCCACACACATACAGAGGGATTACAATACCAGCTGTCTCTGATCATTCTCAATAAAACACTAAAATCTCTGAGATAATAATCAAACTTAACAAATTCAGAATGGCACACGTGTGTTGGGGGTCCCACTCTGGGCTGAGTGATTTGCTAAGAAGACTTCAGGATTCAGCACACACTTAAGACTTATACAGTGAAAGGATACAAAGCAAAATCAATCAAGGGAAAGGGTGCTTGGGGCAAAGTCCATAGGCAACCAAGGTCAGGCAAGGTCAGCTGCTATAAGAGGCAGGGAAGTCCTCAGAGCTTTCAGCAATTTCAAAGAATTGCATGCAAAAAACGGGAGTTCAGGGCTGCCAAGCTTCCTGAAAGAAGGGAGTTGCACAGATGTGACCCCAGCAGTTTTCCTCTAATGGCACTTGACAAATTTTTAAAATACATAATACACAAAGCTGAGAAACAGAGCAGAAAGCAGCAAAACAAACGAAACAGAAAATAAACACAAAATTTTTGGCAGAACCGCAGTACTGAGGAAAGAAGTCTTAGGCCTTCAATTTCGACCTCTGGAGGGGAAGGGCTGAACCAAGGATCAAACAGGTTTCACAGGTTTTGCAAACCTACCTCAAGTCAGCTAAGTCCCACACTGGAGTGGAGCCATCTGCCCTACGCTATAGCCTACTAAAGGATAGAATGAATCCTCTTTGAAGGAATATGTATTCTTCCTTATTCTGATATACAGTCTTTTTATATTAAAGTCTCAAATAGATACTTATGTGAGAAGAATAACTTTCTTCCAAGAGGCTACTAAAAATAAAACACACAAATATCTATAAAATATACAGTCAGCAAACTCCTTGTATGGCTAAATCTTAGAGATTAGAAGTTACTAGTTTGATACCTATCTGGATCTCAATGATAAGGAGCATTTCCTTCTCTTATTATAAGCCTCAAAGCTTTCATTATAATCTAACCTGGCCCGGGGTCCTGAAGTGCTCATATAAATCCCAAACTTATTTTTCTAGATGACTTTGATCTCCTCTGTATCTGTGAGTACAATAGCATTTCATTGACTCAGCACAAAAACACTATCAGTTCACTTGTACTTATAAGTCACTATGATTTCAAGTGGACTGGAAGTGTGATATGATCTTCAACTATGTGGCATGATTTACCTGCCTAGAAAATATCCCAACAGCAAGTATAGCTGTAAGAATTTGCTACGTGGTAGCAATAAATGACTAAGAAATGCAAACCAGGCTCAACTATGTGCATCACAGCTATTAACTAGAAAGATCTTTTAAGATTGGCTTGATTAAATGGTAAACTTCACATTAAAGATAAAGCACATTAATACCAGTAAGCTTTACTACAGAGCTATGTATTAGATATTACTGTTAACATGTGGCCCCAAGTCATCTATATTGACAGAGACCCTCTTCTTGACCAAACTTAAGTCAGGCTCCTCTGAGTCCTCTTGAGAAGTAGGCCCTGACCGTGGGCTGTGTCCTTAGTCCAGTGGCTCTGCCTTCTTAGTCCAGTTCCAGCAAGAATCCTGCTGAGTCGGTTTATCGAAAATCCCTCTCCCTCAACATCAAATCACCCTGGCCTGATTTCAGCAAAAATTCTGTCAAGTACGATTAGCCAACATCTCCCACAGCCCCGATGTTTCAATCCAACAACCCCCACTCTACTCCTTGGCTATAAACCTCCACTTTTCCTTACTGTATTCGGAGTTGAGCCCAATCTCTCTCCTCTCCTGCAAAACCTCATGTAGCAGTCCTCCTGAACAAAGCCTGGTTCCCATTCTTCAAAAAGTGTCATGAATAATTTTTTCTTTAATAATATTAATTTAACTTTCTCAGGAAAAAAGTTCCTACATATGTATAAACACTAGCTTCACATAAAGAAAGTGTGGATAATATAGAGTTTAATATTTCATCCTAGTGTTAATAGTCTGTAGCAATCAATATCTTTATTACTACTTTGTAATAACTTCAAGGCAGTCTCTTATGATGACAGGGTCAGTACAGCCTTTAAACAAGGGACACAATGATGTTAACTGGCCCACTAACCTGTACTTACTCCCTATACCTTATCAGCAAGGTACTCTACCTTTATCACAACACATCAAATTAGGTTTTTAAAAATTTTAATACAAAATAGGAGTAAAACTAAGCATATTTTAAAGGCATTCTCTAGCTTAAGTTCTATTTATTTTATTAGTTGCATTAGGAACAATTTCTCATCAAATTTTCTAATGTTCATGCTGTATGCATAAAAAGGGATTAAGTAGCCCTAGCCGGTTTGGCTCAGTGGATAGAGCGTCGGCCTGCAGACTGAAGGGTCCCGGGTTCGATTCTGGTCAGGGGCATATATCTTGGTTGCGGGCACATCCCCAGTGGGGGGTGTGCAGGAGGCAGCTGATCGATGTTTCTAACTCTCTCTCTCCCTTCCTCTCTGTGAAAAATCAATAAAATATTTTTTTTAAAAAAGGGATTAAGTACTAATACATGCTTCAACAAGGATGAACCTCGAAACAAGCAAGGTGAAAGAAGCCAGACACAACAGGTCACCCATTGTATTATTCCATTTATTTGAAATATCCAGAATAGGTAAATCCACAGAGACAGAAAGCAGGCTAGTGGTTGCCAGGGGCCAGATATGACTGCTTAATGGGTATGAGGGTCTCCTTTGGGGAGTGGGGGAGAATAAAAAGTTTTGGAATTATATAGAGGTGACAGGTGTTTGCACAAAATTGTGAACGTACTAAAACGCCATTTTATTGTTCACTTTAAAATGGTTAATTTTATGCTATGTGAATTTTATCTCAATTTTTTTAAAAAAAGAAGTTCAAATACTGTTTGATTGTAAGGCAGTAATTAGGCTTCATTTCAACATGGGCACATTTTGTATAATGATAAAACACTATACAAAATTTGGTATTTTTCAACTTCACTTTTCTATAATGTTTTAACCATACTCAAATTTCAAATACTTCTTCCATATGCCCAATATACTAAAATTTAGTCATCAATGCAAAATCCTAATGAGAAATATTGTTAAACTAGAGGCCCAATGCACAAAAATTTGTGCACTCGGGGGGTCCCTCAGCCCGGCCTGTGCCCTCTAGCAGTCTGAGACCCCTCAGGGGATGTCCACCTGCTGGCTTAGGCCTGCTCCCCGGGGGGGATCGGGCCTAAGCTGGCAGTCAGACATCCCTCTGGCAGCCCAGGAGCCCTCGGGGGATGTCCAGTTGCTAGCGGGGAGCAGGCTTAAGCTGCAGTCAGACATCCTTAGCGCTGCTGAGGAGGCGGGAGAGGCTCCCGCCACCACTGCTGTGCTGGCAGCCATCAGCCTGGCTTGTTTTGTGGCTGAGCAGAGCTCCCCTTGTGGGAGCACACTGACCACGAGGGGGCAGCTCCTGCATTGAGCGTCTGCCCCCTGGTGGTCAGTGTGTGTCATAGTGACCAGTCATTCCCAGTGGTTCTGCTGTTAGAATCAATTTGCATATTACCCTTTTATTATATAGGATTATATAGGATAGAGGCCTGGTGCACAGGTGGGTGCCGGCTGGTTTGCCCTGAAGGGTGTCCCGGATCAGGGTGGGGGTTCAGCTGGGGTGCCTGGCCAGCCTGGGTGAGGGGCTGCTGGCTGTTTGCAGGCTGGCCACGGCCTCCGGCAACCCAGGCTCCCAGCCCCTCCTTTTTTTCTTTTATTTTTTTCAGCACCTCCTTGAGGGGAGGGAAGCAGGTATCTGGGGTTTATTTATTTTCTATAATTGAAACTTTGTAGCCTTGAGCAGAGCCCAGGACCGGCCAGAGCAGGCGGGAAGCTTGGCTTCCTCCATCGCGGGGGGCAACCCAAGCCCCCTGCTCGCTCCAGCTCTGTGGCCACCTCCATCTTAGTTGGGTTAATTTGCGTACTCGCTCCTGATTGGCCTGGTGGGCATGGCTTGTGGGTGTAGCAGAGTGGTGGAGTGATGGTTAATTTTCATGTTTCTCTTTTATTAGTGTAGATATTTTATTGGTTCTCAAATTCTTTAAATGAGTGGTACTGAGAAAACTACTTAATAACTCGGGTGACATGTAAAATAACACTTTTGCTAAGTACAAAAGGATTAAGGGAAAAAAAGTCTAAATCCTTCCTAATTAACTACAATTAATAACTGAAAAGATAAATTTCACATCAGAACAGACCCAGCCTAAGAGAGCATGGGTGAATTAAAAGTTACAAAAAAGCCCAAACACAGCACAGAGAGACAAAGAGCAGAAACTTATTAATGAGAGTAAGACACAGAAGATCTATGAAAAGGTCAAACTTAAATGTAAATGGAGTCCCAGAAAGGACATAATGGGGCAGAATCAATGTTTGAAGAGAAAATGGCTAAGAATTCCCCTAAATTGATGGAAGATATCCAGCCACAGATTTAAGAAACCTTGTAAAACCCAGGCAAAATAAATAAAATACTAAGTAAAACCCCTATATACCAAAGACTAAGAGAAATTCATAAAAGCAACTTAGCCTTAAAAGATAGATTACATTCAAAGGGCAACAATCAGACTGGTACCTCACTTGACAACTCAATAGTGGAAGACCAATGACAACAGAATGGCTCTTCAATGAAGGACAGTGTTACCTGTCCAGCACAAACATCCCTCAAAACTGAAGATGAAGACTTAATAGTATTCTTTGAACAAAAGAAAAATTACTTCAGATAAAATCTGAAATGTAGAAATAAATGAAGAGGAAAGAGGGGAAGAGGGCAGTAAATGTATGAAGAAATCCAAAGACTGCATAAAACAGTAATAATGTCTGTAAACTTTAAAATATTAATAGGTATACTCATAAAATATCTGACAACAGCAGCACATATATTGAGGGAGTTAAATGGAGTTAACATGTTCTAAGGATCCTATATTGTCCAAGAAAAGATAAAAGTACAAATCTGTATTGACTCTGATAAATTGAGAATGTGTGAATACCAAGTATTCATTAAAAAAATTAAGAGGATACAATCAATATAAACCTGAAATCAATCTAAAATCTATCAATCAAAAAAAGGCAAAACAAACAAAAACCACAGGGCAAGTGAAACAAATAGCAAACAATAAGTTGGTAGAGTTAAGTCTAAATGTGTCAATAATTATAATAAATGTAAATGAACTAAATATTTCAGTTAAAATATGACTGTCAGATTAAAATTTATAAAAACAACTATGTCCTAATTATGAGACATTTTTAAATATAAAGAGGCAGAGGTTAAAAACAAACATTAAATTTTTAAAAAGTTAGTTATAGCTTATATACATAGTAATATCAACATGGTGTAAGAATCTGTGAGCTTTTTAATATAAAGTCTTACATTCAGAGGTTTCAAGGTTTCTAAGTAAAATAATTTTACAGATCAGTTTTTAAGCTTTATTAAACTTGTAATTAGTTTTTAGATTTCCATTGTTATTTATAAAAGTAAATTATATTTACTGAATGAAGCATTGTAGATACACTTAAGAGAATAACTGAAAACTTAGCTAAACATATAAAAGTCAAGCGACTGGAACACTAGAACAACTGCTTGCTTTGAGTGCACTGCGGCCCTGATCCCTCCACCCCTGCACCCAGATCAGGGGCAGGGCTGGCCAGCAGACCACCCGTGGCCCCTCCCCCCAGCTAGCCTGGCTCCGATCAGGGTGGGCCAGCCAGACCCCACCCATGCACAAATTTGTGCACCAGGCCTCATAGATTAAAATGCAGTATTTTTCAGCCTTAAAAAAGAAAGAAACCTGGCCAGTGTGGCTTAGTTGGTTGGGCGTCATCCCATACATGGAAAGGTTGCTGGTTCAATTTCTTGTCAGGGCACATGCCTGGGTTGCAGGCTTGATCCCTGGTCGGGGGCGTGCAGGAGGCAGCCAATTGATATTATGCTCTCACATTGATATTTCTCTCTTCTCCCTTCCTTTCTCTCTAAAAATCAATAAATTATTCTTTTTTTAAAAAGGAAGTATTTTAATTTGCTACAACATGGATGAACCTAGATGACATTATGCTAAGTGAAATGAGCCAAAAAATATATATATTGCATGGTGTAACTTCAATGTGAAACCTAAAAGAAAGGAAAAAAATGGAACTCATAGAAACAGAGTAGAAAAGTGGTTGCCAGGGGATAGGGGTGAGGAAATAGGGAGAGGTTGGTGAAAGGATATAAACTTTCAGTTGTAAGATGAATAAGGTCTGAGGAAGTGATGGTGACTATAGTTGTTAACACTAGATTGTATAATTGAAATTTGCTAAGAGAGTAGAACTTAAATATTCACACACACACACACACACACACAGAGAGAGAGAGATAAATGTGTACAATAATGGATGGATATATTAATAACTCAATATGGGAAATCTTTTCACAATGTATACATATATCAAATCATCACATTCCATACTTCAAATATCTTATAATTTTATTTGTGAATTATACCTCAACATAGCTGGGGTAGGGGGAGAATAAATGAAATAACTTCAAAGGAGACTTCTACACATCAATGAGAACAACTAACAATCTTTATATTAGCTTCCATTATTGTTTAGCAGACACTTTCAAGGGTAGACAATTCAGGTGATCACTCTGTCAACTATCACAGTGAATGAAGTTCTAATTGATGTTTTACTATACTTAAAACTGCTAAGTTGATATATATATCAATAGAGCATGGTAATAATTAAATCTGATGACAAGTCAATATCTAACAATAAAAATTAAGGTTCTGTATAATGACAGTATTTTTACTCATATACATCAAACTATAAAATGCTAAGGTCTAATATTATGATTAAGAACTATGATACTGAATTGTTTCTGATCCTATAGCTGATCAAATTTTATATACATTGAATTTTAGGAACCAAAATTTACCTATTTAGAAGAATATTTGGCAGGCATAGTTCAAATTTCAAAGGCATACTAAATTATCTACTTCTGGTATATGTAACCAGAAGATTATATGATTGGAAAGTTATATGAGGTGTGCAGATAACAACAAGATAGACTTCCTTTTAAAGTACAAATCCTAATTCTAAAGCCCTCTTAATTTAAATATTACCTGATATACATACTGTTTTCCACACTGCTTTTTTGGGAGGTTAAAGGTAAACCATTAAGAACACTAAAACCAGCATTCAAAATATAAGAATATTTCATTAAAATTTCATCTAAAAATCAGTATTAAAGAATCAAGAATATTATTACAACTTGGAATAAATATTAAATGTGTAAACTTAATTATAGTAATCTTAAAAATGTTCTTAACTGTCAAAATCTCAGTGCCTTTTCTATGCTTCACTGATTTAATGAAGTCTAATAGAATACTACAAGGTAACAACAGAATAAACAAGTGTGCCTTACCTAGTTACTTTGCAGCTTGATTCAATCAAGTCATTTTCAAAGTCAAGCAGGCTGGAAGGCAGACTATATTCCAATGGGGATGTCAGTCTTTTCAAACGCAATAGACCAACACAAAATTTTGCTCCCATCTCTTCCAATTCTCGAGTACCAATCTGTAAGCCCTGAATATAAAGCAATATTATATGTGTAACTATGATGTTTGCTATCCTCTGGATGTATCTCATTAAAATTACATAAAAGGAATTTATAATTACATTAATAAGATTAGAAGATTAATATTTTGTATGGACCTAGGACTCAACCAACAGAATGTCTTAGCAATATCAGATATTCTAAGTCATAAAGAAAACTGTCTTTAAAAATCATTTCTAAATTATTCTTATTCATCAAATGCAAACTATTTTCACGAATACACTACGAAGAAAAAAATACATAAACCTTTTGTGCTTATGTTACTCTTAGAGTTCATGTGTGAAAATAGATTTTTACAAAATCTCGCTAATATTTCTTGTGATCCACTACTCTGGATGCCAATGTTGAAATATTATAGTGTTAAAATCAAGGCTCCAATTTGTATACTTGAACATTATAGGTACTTTTATTGTATGATAAACAAATAAAAGGTAGCTATGTCAAAAAAGAAACAAACAAACCTAAGCCAATGAGGTATTAGTAAAATAAGTTCCTATATTCCATGTCAATTAAAAATGCCCATTTCAAATTTTGTCTATTAAAGCAAAGAGAAAATTTCAGCACAACCCCCATACCCTTTATACACAAGAGTTTTCAACTAACAATGTAAGATTTACTGGAAGTTAAATGTAACCATGTAAAAGGATAAAAATGGAGTGTAAATCAAGATTTTGCTTATCATGTAATTTTCAGATAAAAATAAATCTCTAAAATAAGTGAAATTCTTATACCAATAAAAGCTGGATGTATAGATGAGAGCTGCATAATTTAGAGAAAAGGCACTGTAAAACAACTTTTTAATGACAGGACTAAAGGCACAGGCTAAGTGAAGAAAATAAATTGTAAAAACTATTACTTAACCTACATGCCTTTATAATAACGACTGATTAACTGATTGATTAAAGAGTTTAGACATCTTAGTTTAAGAGCTTTAGAAAGGTTATGCCTATTTCTGAATTAATTCATAGGAAAATAACATTTACAGCCTAAAATACAGTAATATAAGAACATTCTCAGGGTGAAGAAATCTTTTTTAAAAAATATAATTAGCCGAAACCAGTTTGGCTCAGTGGATAGAGCGTCGGCCTGCGGACTGAGGGGTCCCAGGTTCGTGTCCGGTCAAGGGCATGTACCTGGGTTGCAGGCACTTCCCCAGTGGGGGATGTGCAGGAGGCGGCTGATTGATGTTTCTCTCTCATCGATGTTTCTAACTCTCTTTCTCTCTCCCTTCCTCTCTGTAAAAAATCAATAAAATATATTTAAAAAATATATATATATATATAATTAGACTCACACAACTTATCTTACCCAATAAAGAGGTAATATGCAAATTGACCATCAGGCATCGATCAGGCTGGCAGGCAGAAGCAGTTAGGGGGTAATCAGGCAGGCAGGCAGGTGAGCCATTGGGTGTCAGCAGTCCTGGATTGTGAGAGGGATGTCCGACTGGGTCCCAAATTGGAGAGGGTGCAGGCTGGGCTGAGGGACACACACACACACACACACACACACACACACACCGTGCACGAATTTCATGCACAGGGCCTCTAGTTAGCTATTATTAATAAGTGTGAAAAGTATAATTATATGCATGTGTGGGGATGGAGGTAGATGGGAATTTTGTACTTTCCACTCAATTTTTCAGTGAATCTGAAACTATTCTAAAAAACAAAGTTTATTAATCAAAAAAAGGAAAAAACTAAAAAGAAGTGTATGTTATGAAAAAAGAATTGGATTTCAGACATAAAAAAATTGGCTTAGTGAAACACACTTCTCTCCAAGGACTTTGAATGTCCTCGGCAGAGCTGTCCACTAAAGCAATGATTGGGCGACAGAGTTTGGGGGCAGGAATGGTGCTCAAGCTCCATTTTCTCTCTCATCACCATCATGCCTTTGGCAAACTACAAGTCACTGTTTTACAATATTTGGAGAGAATTCAAAAGTTATTATTACACTTTGGAAGAATACGGTGGTCAACCTAAACAGAAGCACTGAGATGTCATTAAGTTCTATTCTACCAGGCCCCAAAAGCTTGAAGTTGGTTGTAAAACCTGCCTAATCTTCTTCTAGCTTGCTACAGACTGAAAGTCATTACTTAGGCTCTCTCTCCTCTTAAACATTCTGACATCAACTGTCATATGTTTATATTTTTAATACTAACCAATTGGAAGGTTTTTAGCTCTTTCAAAACATAAAGTTATAACCATTGTTATGTGAGGTAACTATTAGATTCAGTTCCCTCTTGCCCTACGTCAAAAACAAAACAAAACAAAACAGGACACTTAAGAAATCTTTCTGTGCCAAGGCAAAAAAGATGTTCAGGTTTGCTGCTGCATGTATAAAGTCCAATTCATTGTCCATTAAGTTCTCGATATTTAAAATTTTTAAGTTCAAAATCACCTAATATTTTATTAGTCTTAAGTTTCAAAAGCAGAGTTTAAACTCAGGTTGTTTCCCAAAAAAGTGTATGGCACTACAGAAAAGTAGTCTTAGTAAAGAAAAATATTTAGTGAAGGGATATGCATTTAAAAATCAGACACAAGAGAGGGTCAGTGGAGGGGAAAGAGGGAAATCTGAAATACTTTCAACAATAAAATATATATTTTAAAAACTTTATAAATAAGTGTAATGTGTTTATTTCTAAGTGCATAAAAATATATTTATATCCAACAAATTAAAATGATATAAAAATTTGATTATTAATGTATTACTTGCACAACTCATTATAAATTACTAACCAGTATTTCTATGTGTACCACAACGTTTTCTTAAAAAGTATGAATATAAATATACTCAAGATTTTGTGAGAACCCAAAGCAAACTATTTAGTTCAAAGAAATTTTTTAAGTGTTTAAGACTGCATACAATTCAATTTCATCATTACAAATTACATATAACTCAGTATATCAGATATATCATGGAATATATACTTGAAAACCTTTGGATTATACATATGAAAAAAAGTCTTCAAATATTATTTTAAGGCTAGAAGTACTGAAATGTTTTACCTTATATTTTCCCTGATCACAGCCACACAAAGTACTCTCCATGGTATAGCTTCTTTGTACTCCGATCTCCCTCCAAACTACAACACGCGCTGTGGATTCTTTAGATTTTTCCACTACGAAGCTACAGCTACTCATGCAAAATGCCGGGGCAATATGGCTCAGTATCTTAGGCAAAGTCTGCAAAGATAAGAATGATAAAAAAGAATATTTCAAGAAATTTTTTAACTTAAAATTTTTCTAAGTTTTTAATCTTTAAAAATGCTCATGAAAGCACAGTGACTAAAGCAGGGTCATGCAGATCTTCTTGCTATACAAAACATCAGAACAATTCTCTTACTAATTTAGAATTTTCTGCTTTCCCAGAAAAATAGTCAGAAAATAGAATGGAAGAAAGCATCACATTTCCTAGTATATAGCAACCAGGAAGTCCCATAAAACTATGTAAGAAAAACCATGAAGAAAACATGTTTTAAAAAATGAAAAAACTTCAGTCATGAAAGAAGGCTTGACTAATTAAGATATTTGCCACCGTAGCCCTAGCTGGTTTTCTCAGTCGTTAGAGCATCAACCTGCGCACTGAAGGGTTTTGGGTTCAATTCCCAGTCAAGGGCATGTACCTTGGTTGAGGGGCGTGTGGGAGGCAACTAATAGATGCGTTATCTCTCTCCCCTTGATGTTCTTTTCTCTCTCTCTCTCTCTCTCCATATACCAAAAAAGATTTGCCGCTGTAAATGTCAATCATTCCAAATTAATCAATAAAACTAAAACAATCACAACCAAAATGCCCACAACATTTATAGCAACTTAAAATCATTCTGAAGTTTACCTGAAAGTGTAAATATGGGAATACCCCTGAGAAATTCTGAAAGAAAAGGCAATGACTGGAGAAATAACCCAGCAGATATTAACCTAAATTATATGCCTAAAGTTAAGTTAAATTGTGATATTGGTGCAGGAATAGATTTATCTCTAGAAAGAAAAGATTCAAAATTAGAACCAAAGGTATCTGTTAAAGTTATTACAGTTACTAGAGAAAAGACTGATCACTCACTAATGCTGACACCACTGGATAGCCACTGAGAAAAACAAGCTCCAGTCACTAATTTTCATTAAATTAACTTCTAATTAGATTGAAATTTTAAATGTAAAATTTTAAAATAAAACTAGAAACAATAAACACAGAACCATTCTTTTAAGTCTTGGAATGAGAAAAGTTTTTCTAAACCTCAAAATTCAGAAACCATTTTTTAAGAATTCAACAAATATGATAAAAGTTTTAAATTACTATATATCACACAAAAAAATGTACTACACTTGTAATCACATAGTTTAAAAACAATAACTGGGTGACCAGCACAAAAGTAAACAGAGAATATGCGAAAAGGCTATTTTGAAATAGAGAGATCATACTTGGTCAGACATACGACACAATACTCATCCTAAATATTATAGATTCGCAAATTAAAAGCATGAGGTATTTTTTTAACCTGGCAAAAATAAGAGTATTATGTAATAAGGGTGTGGAGAAATAGCGCTATCATTCATTATATTGAGGAACATCAATTTGTATAATCTTCATGGCATACTAATCAAATGACCACCAACTGGATAAATAAATTTTGGCACATCCATACAAGAACAAAAGCACACAACGGAAATCTTGTGGAATTGTCAGAAAGACTGACACAGACCTCCATGTGAGGACCAGGAAAGATGGCCAACAAACACGTGAAAAAACAAGTAGCTGTGGAGCACTGAAAAACAGACACAAACTTCATATGCTCTAGGTGTAATCTATGAATTAACGTGCTCAGAGTAGCAAAACTGCTTAATTAGTAACTGTGAGATGGCTTTCACTTACTACTGTGAATTCCTCGATGGTTTCCATTTTTTATATAACTCTAACATTTTATTCTTTAGGAAAAGGGGAATAGAGAGAAGCAAAAAGAAAATGTACTTCGAGCTTGCACATTAACCGAGGGTGCTTGTCTAGGCATAAAAGTAGGAGGAGAATGAAAGCACACAGGGCTTGAAGCAGTAAGATCTCGTGTCCGTCCCTGGCATACCTCAAAACACAACCAGGCAGGTGGAAAAATGGTATGCCACAGACGGCTTTATAAAATCGGCCAAGGAAGGGTGTACTGTTTAATCAATGATTATACATGAAACTAAATAGGTCCCCACATCTCAGATCAAATGAATTCCAGATATACATCTACATGTAAAAAGCGAAAACATTTGGAAGAAACATTTAAAATGAAAAATTTGAAACCATAATAGCAAAATGGCAACATGAACAGAATCTGAGTAGTTTATATGTTAAATTATTTTCTGTAGTTGTATGCATGGTTGCATCTCAAAAACTCCTGATTTATCTGTCATAATTACCCTGTATCCCACATCTTCCACAACATCACAGGAACTTGCATTATTATTGGTATGCCACACTGTCTCCTTGATGCTGCAGCCATACATAAATACATTCTTCTTTCGGGAGTGGCCATGGTAATCACAATAAACCTTGAAAAGATTACATGTTTTAAGAATTAAAAACCTTCAAATTCATATATTGACAAGTAAATCTAGTTACTGTGAAGCCAATAAACAGGTCTGTGTTCCTTGATCCTTTTACTGTAACTGAACCACCATTTAACAAGTAGAGTCAATAAAAGTAGAAATATCTAGTTTTGGAAAGAAATCTATGATTACTAGGAATGGTTAGAAAGTGCTTTGCAAGATCTGCATCAAACCACAAATTCTACTCTTATATATCTTCTCTGTGCCATTATAAAAAAATAATAAATTCAATTATAGGTCAAATTTATATCTGTAGTCATCACTGACCCAAGGGCTGTTAAAATATTTATCTAATTTAAAAACACATGAAAATGTTCTCATGAAAAACACTATAAAAAGAGTGTGGTTTAAGCCCTGACCCATGTGAGCCCTGGCTAGTATGACTCAGTTGGTTGGAGCACGGTCTCATACACCAAAGGGTGGTAGGTTTGATTCCTGGTCAGGGCACATTCCCAGGTCGTAAGTTCTACCCCTAGTCAGGGCACAGGTGGGAGGCAACCAATCAGTGTGTCTGAGTCTCTCTCTCTCTCTCTCTCTCTCTCTCTCTCTCTCTCTCTCTCTCTCCCTCCCTCTCTCTTTCCCCTTTCCTCTCTCTGGAATAAATAATTTTAAAAATAAATGTGTTTTTTTAAAGGGTATAGTTTCAATTTAATTTTTGAGAACATAATTTTAAAAATGAAGGACAGACTCACATGCCAATTTTTTCCCTCTACAAAATGTTTCTCTTTAATTTTTTTATTGATTAAGGTATTACATATGTGTCCTTATCCTCCCATCTTCCCCCACCCCACTCCTGTTCATGCCCTCACCCCTGGTGTCTCTGTCCATTGGTGAGGCTTATATGCAGGCATGCAAGTCCTTTGGTTGATTTCTTCCCCTTACCCCCACCCTCTCCTAGCTTCCCTCTGAGGCTTGAGCATCTGATCGATGCTTCGCTGATTCTGGATCTGTTTTTGTTCATCAGTTTGTTGTTCATTATAATCCACAAATGAGTGAGATCATGTGATATTTATCTTTCTCTGACTGACTTATTTTGCTTAGCATAATGCTCTCCAGTTCCATCCATGCTGTTGCAAATGGTGGGAATTCCTTCCTTTTTATAGCAGTGTAGTATTCCATTGTGTAGATGTACCACAGTTTTCTAATCCACTCATCTGCTGATGGGCACTTAGGCTGTTTCCAAATCTTAGCTATGGTAAACTGTGCTGCTATGAACATAGGGGTGCATATATCCTTTCTGATTGGTGTTTCTGTTTTCTTAGGATATACTCCTTGCAAATGTTTCTTTCCTAAAGGAAGATTAACTCATTTAAACACTAACTGAATGGAAACATTCTAAACAAAAGCTGCTGAAAGCAGAAGCGCATTCACACAGCTCTTGGAGTCTCCCACCCCACCTCTACGATCTTTCCCACATTAGTAGCCGAGACTGACCAGCTTAAGAGTTGACTAAAGAGCTCAGATATAAGCTACTAGTTTGAGAATTTGAAAAATATTGTTACCTCAGTGTTGTTAAAATAGTGAAGTTAAATGCCTAAAATTACAACCAGGAGTTACCAATATTCATAAATAAAAAAAAGAAAAGTATAGGGCTCATGAACATTACAAAAATTAAATCTGATGAAATAAGAATATGAATACATTATATTGATACCATAATTAGTACACAAGTGACTGATAACAGAAAAAGATATTTTGAAGAAATTGCTTCTGAAATTAATACTTAGCTTTTATAACCAGAAAATCCTATATAGTAAAAGCCTAATATGCAAACAGACTGAAGGGCAGAACGACCAGTAGCTATGTCGTGCACTGACCACCAGGGGGCAGACGCTTAACGCAGGAGCTGCCCCCTGGTGGTCAGAGCACTCCCACAGGGAGAGTGCAGCTCAGCCAGAAGCTGGGCTCATGGCTGGTGAGTGCAGTGGCGGTGGCAAGAGCCTCTCCTGCCTCTGTGGCAGCGCTAAGGCGCAGGGAGCCGAGTGGTAAGGAACAGAGAGCAGGCAGGTGGTAAGGAACAAGGGGTCCCGGACATCCCCTGAGGGATCCCGGACAGCAAGAAGGTACAGGCTGGGCTGCAGGACTCCCCACCACCCCCACTCCCTGAGTGCACAAATTTTGTGCACCGGACCTTTAGTAATGTATAAAACACTAAGTCTTTAATCAACAAAGTCATGTCTTTGTACAAAACACAAACAAATCCTGGCACTTACCAGTGGTAGGCGCTTCACTGCAGCCAGGTACTGCAGCAGCCCCTTCGCATGGTAAATTGTAGGATGCAAATCAGGATTTGGACTCTGCCACTGTCTGTTCAAATCCTCTCCACTTAAAGAACAGCGGTGACTACACAAATACAAACACAGTGATAGACAAACACTGATACCAATAAATTCTTAAATATATTTGATTTAATTTTATTCTATTTCACTAAATATTTCAAATTGGTATAGATGATGGGCTCAACAGAAAGCATAGGTTAGTCATTAAATAATCATTAATTAAGCATTTGCTGTGTCCAAGATCCTGTGTTACATGCCATTAGGTATGGTAACCTTTCAGATTCATAGGTCAAAAATTTCAAGCCATAGAAAATACTAATTCTCAAATCTGGGATTTTATTCCATACTCTATAAAATTTAATGGCCATATTTTCCATTCTGACTACATAATAATCATTTTTTATACTAACATTTTATATTCTGATTGCATTAGTTATTATTAAAAGTGCTCCCTGGGCCCTCCTAAGAAGGGTTAGTTTATGAAAAGCATATATACTTAAATACATTTTCATTTAATCACAGGTATTAAGTATTACAGCCACTGAGCAAAAATTTAAGCAAACAATCAGAAGGTGATAACAGAAATATAAACAGGATTTTAGCTGAACAATTAAAATAAGACATAAAATTTTGTTTTAGTTCCATTACCATAACATACCTAAAAATAAATTATCCTTTTTAAAATTTTCCTAAAATATGAGGACGATTCATGCTACACTTATGAATAAAGTGCCCTCAACTTTGGAGATGCCATGTCAAATTCCACCTTTCCAATGCACTAAAGAGACCTTGTCTAATTGCCACAATAAATGAATTGTACAAAAATGAGCTACCTTCACTTAAAAAGTAGTATCTTCTAGCATCTCCAGTCTAAAGAATTCCTTCTGTCAGAGACTGTACTTCCTCATATCAGGAAGAAGTTAGCAGATGGACCCAACATGCCATATCAGTGGAAAGAGATCCCAGAGATTTTAAATCTTACAACTAAGATCACACCATTGACAGAATTAAAAAAGAAATATAAGAGGATATGTTAAAAAAAATCTTTCTCATATCCTAACACTGTGATTTTTCTAAAATACTTCAAGCAAGATAGACATTTTATGAAATCATACTGTCATGAATATAGAATTTGTCAAAATCCCATACTACTAATAAACAAAATATGTTTTCATTTAAAAATGTATCTTAAATGAATTCCCCACTAAAAATTTGTTCTAGAAAAAAATCACTAGATTTGCTCTCCAAATTTACCCTGGATAATATTATTTCAACAATTTTATACAGGCTCACCACAATTATCTATAATATTTCTATAACTATTGCTTAACTTACTTTCCATTGATGACACCATCTGGATTTAGCATAGGGACAATTTTAAAAATATAGCATTCTCGTAAGCTCTGAGCAGTAGGGCTATTACTCATGAGATACTCCAATGTTCCTTTCATTACCCAACTTGCATTTGTTTCTCCAGGATGTACCCGAGCAGATAAGAAAACGTAAGGGCGATTTCCTAAAGGACACATAAAATCTCAAATTAAAATGAACAACGACTAAAAGTTTGTATGATGTTTGACGTTGGAGCTTTAGAAATGTATCTACTCCATGAATTCTGATATACATTCATAGTAGAATTCAGCGTGCACCTACTATAAACAAGCACTGTACTAGGCTCTATAGAGGAAAACAGATATAAAACCCATGCAAGCCACATCCTAAAGGAGTTCATAATATGAACATAATGCAATAAATACTACATGAGTCACTTATTTACCAATGATTAATCTAACATAAAAAAGTATCTAATATAATATTGGTTTTATAAAGAACAAGTAGCTGGGGAAGTTTTAAATATAAATTTATTTTTCATAAAGCCATTGGGAAAAGAAGGAAAATATCATCTTACTCCTGTTTTACAGTCACTGTGACAAGTACAGAAAAAAAGGTCTATCTTCTCAGAAATTTACAAAGAGAAATATTTTCACTATGCATTTAGATATACCCGTCTAAAAATAACACTCAGCTCACCTGGTCATATTTTCATGCATAGCAAGCTCTTTCTCTTTCCTGAAAATATTATACTTTCTTATCAAAATTAGAACAGTTTTCTTATTTTTTCTACCCCAGCTATACATCTGAGGCAACTTTAAAAAAATAAATGGCAGAAAAAAACAAGTAGCTAGTTGGTGCTAGAATTAAAACACTTAATAACTTTCTGGTGGTTTTATTTATAAATAAAATTAGCTATAAATGTAATTGATAACATTATTACATAAACTCTTAAAATAATGTGTTACATTATGGTAATGACTTACAAGGATAAGAACTACGGAATATCAGTATCAAAAGGGACCTTAGAGATTATCTCACAAAGCTCTCTCATTTTCGAGATGAGGAAACTGGGGCCCAGATGTAGACCGAGGGCTAGGCAGTACCAAGACCAAGACTTCTGATGCCTATTCCTAGTGTTACTGCCCTTACAGACATATATAAAGCAAAGGGAAATAAGTAAGGATGACTGGCATTTTGAGTGAAGAAGACAGACTTACTGAATTGACAGATATGTTCATAATAATTAGACTCTGGCATTGCTGTTATAGTCACCAGGGGACAGCTGTTTCCAGACAGGGTTTCACATAACACATCTCTTCGAAAATAGATTTGCTGGGGGTTGTGCGCTGATTCCAATTTTTGAAGATGCATCTTGATAAAAATTTAAAAGTATACAATTATTTTAAAACACCCTATGAAAAATAGAAATAAAAGCATCTAGATCTCCACATAACTAAATGTCAGTCAGATTCCTAATCCCCTCTCTGGAACCCTCAGGGGCCAGATGTCATTCAAACATCAGTACTTGGGGAACTCAAGACAGATACAGTGTATATACCATTAAATGTGCAATACCACAAACAGGGTCAGAGGCAGCCTGTATAAGCAGGTTATTAAATCTGCAGCAAAACATATAAAGAGTCCCTCTAAGTGGAATCAATATTCTAAATATGCTCACATCAATTTAGGCCAGGCTTTGCTGCCAAATGGGCTATGAAAAAGCTTTTGGTTCTCAAAGCCTTCTGAATTTTGAAATGATAAATTACTGTAGACCTACCTACAACAGCAATAAAAAACATGCAGAATAAAAATTATGTCAGACAAAGTTTGTAGCAACTTTTCCTGATTTCAAGATTAATATAGGTTCATTGTGAAAAGGGGGGAAGATACAGAAAGAACAAAGAAAAGAATTTAAACATCCATAATTGCATCATTTAGATTACTACTAACAAATGCCAATGTGCATAAACAAAACTATAATTACACATGACTTTTTAAAACCTGCTTTTATTCCTTAGTAATTTATACAAACACACACATATTCATAATTACGAATACCATATAACATCATTAGTATATGGTCATACCAAATATAAACTGTTCAACCCCTTATTTAAGATACTTAGTTGGTTTCCACACTTTTGCCTATGTTCATTCACGTAATCACTATTCACTGTGTGGTCACTACTTCTGTGCCAAAAACTGTGCCTGGCACCAAGGACATAACAGTGAAGGAATGGACTCTCACCGGGGACAATACAGAGCACTGACAGCTTGTAGTAAGGAGAGCCTAGCTGAGTCTGCGCAGTGAGGAAAGGTCTCCTAGAAAAATATCACATTTAAACTGGGAGCCAAAGGATGAGTGAAGAGGACAGAGAAGAGAGGTGCAGGCAAAGGAAAAGTGTGCGGGAAGAACAGGAACTACTGGTAATTGAGATAACTAAGTGATGCGTGGATTGCCTTTTAAAGATGTAATAGGTATGTATTTCATTGTGAATTACAAAACTGTCTACACATTAAACCTGCAATTCCCTGGATATTAACTTAGGATGCAGATAAATTTTAAAGAGTGAATTATGTTTAAAAACTACTTAATAATAAATATTAAGTAAATAATAGCTTGCACAGTCTGTGGAGGTGCAAAAAATGTGAAAGACAGCAAAGAAAATGACTTGGGTGAGAATTTTAGACTTTGTGCAAATGGCTAGAGAAATCACGAGGGAGTCTCAGGCAGGGGTGTTACATGATTAGATTTGCCATCAAAGAACTCTCTTGCTATAGTGTGGGAAAATGACAGACGAAGAGGAAATGGGATAAAAGTAAGTTTTAGGACACCAGTAAGAAAAAGGTTGGCAGAAGTCCATGAGAAAACATGCAAATGCCTGGAAAAGGTCATGGGATAGAAAGCAAGGAGCGGAATTCAATATACACTAAACAGGTAAACATCAGTAAGGAACACTAACATGTAACCCTGTAAAGAACAACACGACATATTCTGATGCTGTGTTACTCAGAGGGATCCCTGATCACGCCTTCATCGCAATCTTTATTAAAGGAAAGGGAGCCTCATTTAGTGTCCTGAGCCTTGGTACCTCTGCTGCTCCATGGACTGTGTTTTCCTCTCATTTTCCCCTCTCTAATCATGTGGAAGCTTGTTTCTAACCCTAGTGCTCCAATTCCTTTCTGGGTAAATTGATCGTATCTTCATGATCCTTGGTCAGTAGGACAGCCATTCTGTTCTGAGAGTAAATCTACCACAGTAATTACTTGAATTCACTTGTTTTGTTTTGTTTTACAATGCAAACAATCAAAAATCTCAAAAGAATCCACAAAGCAATTCTTATACCCCAAATTCTAAGCAACCAAGATCTAGGGCTCCATATAGAACTATTAGAAGAAATAAATTCCCTATAGAAAACTTTAATTGCATCCACATTTTTCTACTGTTAGATTTTTCTATCAGATCCAATGCTTCTCATTAAACAGGTGGAAATCTCATCCAGTTAAAATCTGAAAATCATGAATTTTAGAGAACAGTAGATTTCTACCCAAATTAGAAAGTAAAAATCATGTCAAACTTCCTTTCTAGTACATAAAAATAAAGACTACATCCCCATTTATACCCTTTAATGTTTTCAACAAATGTTGTATTATTATCTAAAATCTTCAACACTGGATCTTTTTATTTCATTAAGAAAATTAATAAAGCAATTTCTCTTCTATTATCTGGCACATATACATATTACACAATAATAGTCATAATACAACTTAATGAGTTCTCACCTGTAAAGTTGAGTACGTATATGGATAGTGATAAGCAAAGTAGCAAACATCATCTTTATGTGGGAAATTGACAGTGAATGTAATTGTATAGTAGGATTTTCCCTTTTGCCCACCTGCAGCAACTGAACTTCTTGAGAAGTGATTTCTGCAGTAGAAAAGCATAAAACGTTTATTTCCTCCAAACAAAATCCTGATATTTTTCCTTGCTATTATATTAAACAGAACTTCAAGGCTGGGGGGGAGGGGGGACCATCATTTGTGAAAAGTGCAACTTAAGTATTCTATAAAAATAGACTTGATACTAATAAAACAATTTCTATTAGGCAACATCATTACTGTTCACTTCTGGATTTACTAATTAAATAGAGTTAATACCCTACACATCAATAAAAGTTTTAGAAGCCATTCTTTGATAGCCAAACACATTACTGGTAGACAATGATCATCAAAGGCTGCTACAACCATTAGATGAAAGGCTGATGAACACCTTTGCAGTGGGTGGGACGAAAGTAGGTTTACAGTTGTTTGTATATCATAGGAAAATATACAATAGTTAATAAATAATAATACAAGAATAAACTGTGTTTTGCATACTCACAACTGTAAACTTACTTTTGTTTCACCCCATACATAAATTCACTAGTCATTCTTAAGATTAAAAAAAAGAAATAACCAGAGATAATATGTTTTCCAATTCACTGCACCATCTATAAAGTTTTCTTGCCAAAAACCAAACCTGAAGTTGATCAAGCTTCTAAATCTAACTATTACTTTACAGGAAATCGGTGAGACTAGAAGAATTCATTTACAGCACAAAAGAGCAATCAGCAGAATCCAAAATGTGGGAAATCCTACATGACAAATTATCTAGTTTCAATAAACAAAGGAGAAATAAGAAGAGACAAAAGGGAAGCCTATAAATTAAGACACTTAAGAGACATAGCAACACAAATCAAATGCAATGTGCAGTCCTTGGCAGGTCTGATTGAAACCAACTATAAAATAACATTTATGAGACAAGTGGGGAAGTTTGAACACTGACTGGATATTTTATCACAGAAAGGAATTTTCTTGGGTGTGATAATAGCATTGTGCTTATTAGACTCTCTTAAATGTACACATCTAAAAGACAAAGACCTCTGAAGTATTCATGGATAAAATATGGTATTGGGAAATGTTTTTAAAATTCAGTGTAGAGGTGGGGGTGAAAGTATAACTAAAAACTAACCTGTGTTTATACTTGTTGAAACTGGGTGATGAATACATGAGGTCTCATTAGCCTATTATTTGTTTTTATAAATGTAAATTTACTTTTCAGACTTAAAATATCAGTGACATAGGATGAGTTAAAAATGCTTTTTCTATTAACTTAATTTCTAAATTTCCAAATCACCTTGTGCTATTTAAGCTACAAACTGAAGAAAAGCTATGGCCTATAGACACATACACAGACTTTCAAGGAATTTTCAAATTGGTATAGTCTTCATTAACTTTGCCATTACCCCTTCAATAGATTCATATTCTCTCTCTCTCTCTCTCTCTCTGTGACATAGGGAGTTAAAAATGCTTTTTCTATTAACTTAATTTCTAAATTTCCAAATCACCTTGTGCTATTTAAGCTACAAACTGAAGAAAAGCTATGGCCTATAGACACATACACAGACTTTCAAGGAATTTTCAAATTTTTGTAGTCTTCATGTCTTCAT